TTTTTCCTCCACACTGGCGCAAAGTGCTTGCTCAAGGGGGATTTGTTGAGTTTTCCCTATGTAATAATACTGATAACAGTAAGGTCTAGACCTTACTTTGTAAAGTGTCCTGAGATGACTTTTGTTGTGATTTGGCGCTACACAAATAAAATTTGATTTGATTTGATTACTGATTAACCACAATTTTGGAATCATTGCTAATAATTAAACTTACAAAATTAATGAAAAATCTAAGAAAATGCTTAATACAATATGTGCTTGTAACATGAGTGTGGGTGGAGTTAAGGTAGGAAGTAGGTGTGGGGTCTGAGTCATGTGACTGTGAGAGTCTCAAAATGAGGTAATATGGTTAATTCACCTATAGTCCCTTTTCATGTCAACTTTCAGTTACATTAGGCAAAAGTAAAAAAAAAAAAAAAAAAAAGTAAATCTGAAGCTTCAGAGGCTCTTGGAGTCCTGATAAGACTCGTCTTAAAACAGCTTTAAAACTTGAAATGGCAAATCTGACATAACCCTGAGGGTAAATCTAGTCATGGAATAAGTCTGGATCCCTTGAGTGTGGTAAAAACCCACAGTAGCTGTTACTTTTCTTTTTATCATTAAGCCTCATCCCTTAGTCTTTATCCACATTTTTGTTTTGATACAAAGCAGCAGCTTCCTCTCTGTCACCATTATAGCTGGACAGAACCAGTGTGGCTTGAGATCAGGGTTACCCAGCCACCTGGTCGCAAGTGCGTCAGTCTGTCACGTGTGCCCGTTTCCTCACATTGTGCTGCTGCTCACTGGCAGTGTCCACAATGAGAACTGTTGACTATATCATCTCGCAGGGGAACACAGTGAGAGTTAGTAAAACCTGCCCAGCCAAAACCAGCTGTATCATTCCTGTAGCCTTTATATATCAGGGGGAAGTTGACTGACCATCTGTGTTTTAAGTAATAACATAGATAACTGAAAGTTCTCTTCCAGGAAGACAATGTCCCCATCCTTAGGGCGTGAAGGGGACACTGAATGAGTAATGAGTAAAATTATGTGAATCACATGCTATGGCCTTCAGCCAGATCTCAACCCAGATGAACACCTAGGGGAGATCTTGGAGCAACGTGTTAAGCTAAATTGAGACTTCTGCATCACTGCACATATGGGAACATATGTGTCTGTCATTTGGAGATGTTGCATAGCTGTTGCATCTATACTTGTGTGAATGTTAACGTTTCAACTCTAGTGGGCGCTCAAACAGCAAAGTACAGAAAAGAAGAAGAAAAAGCCAGGAAATGAAAATGTTAGAGATTTTGAGCTAGGCTCAAAGCTGTATAATAAAACTGGCATTATGACACTTTATTAAGTGTTACTATTTTTTTCCAGGTGAGAAAGTAATCATTTAGATTGAGATGGGTGGTCAGTCTAACCAAGTAATGCCAATTTTCTCCAACAATTTCAGAGATGTGAGTAACACATTAGAATACCAAGAGCAGGCAACTACGTCATGGTCAGAGCAGAATTGGATCGACCAATCGGCATCCAGGACACGCAGATTCGCACAGCGCGTAGTTGAGATTTGGGTGCTAACATCTTAATCACATGAACTTAACTTGTAGTCCCACAGCAGGAAATTCTTTCATGATGTCTACAAAGCCAGCAGTCAGGGAAGAAGGGACACGTGAGCCTGTTTCAGAACTTAACAAGGAAGACAGGAAGATTATAGAACAGAAAATTGATAATATGTCAGACATTTATTTAAAACCACTAAAACTATCAAAATCAATTAGTGTCAACATTCATCTAGAGGTTAACATAAATACACAACACACAACTTGAAACACAGTACAAATGTACAATACAAAAATGTTGGATTTAAGACACTTCTGCAACATTTCAAACATCTGACATTTCTGTCAGATGATGCATGCATGGTAGTGTACTGTATATTAATAGTAATAAGATGTCTTTAATATAATTTAAAAGACATGCACACCCTGAAGTCAGATCAGGACCTGTGTCATTCTTGTAAACATTTCTAGTGCACAAGTTAAACAAGAGCAGCTACTCCGATATGAGATGCTTTTTGGCTTACGTAAAGCTGGTACACATTTACTCACATGCATGGAGATTTTTCACCATGGTCACAAATCTATATACAGTACACAGTACATAGGAAAATACAGATTTGTAGAATCAAGATGACAACCTTACAAATAAGCTTTTTATCACTAAATATCTGTACAATTCAAAGAGAAAAAGTCCTTTCTGAGCCTTAAATTAATCACTGTAAACCCTGTGATAATCACAGACACACTATTTACATACCTCATATCATTTCAGGTTTCCTCAACTCTTTATCCCCTGTTTAAGTGTAGTTAAAAGTGCGCTTAAGTCTGAAGACTTCAGGTTGTATCCAGACTTAAGCGAAGCAAAAAGATGCATCTCTAGGACTATCACTGCTGATGTGAAGAAAATGGCAAGTCATGTGTTTATGTCAGAGATGGAGAGAAAGGTGATCAAATAATTGCTCTTGGACTCATAGCTATACCACTGAGTTAATTATATCATGTGAATTTTGTCATGACTGGAAGATGTTCCATATATTTAGGGGTGCCAACTATCACCTTTATGAGAGAGTAAAGAAATTCAGGGCCAGCTAAGGCTACAGATGCACAGAGCTGGATGACTGGAAGTTGTGATTATTGCCTGACCTCATATTATGTTACAGAACATGTCTGTGCTGAAGCTGAAGGGGGGAAAACATGCAGAGCTACAATCCTTCACATTGTTCAGGCCTCTCCTCCTCCTCTCGCTGCAGATCCTCGACCATCTCTGTTTTCCTGACCCTGATCACAACCTGGGGGGATGATGTTACAGGAAGCCTGATGCTCCTGGGGAGATAGAACTACTCCATGGCGACAGCTCCCTCTTCACCTCCTCTTTGGCTGGCTGTCTGAAGATGGAAAGAGAAGAGGGAGGGAAGGAGGGAGACATGCAACTTTAGCCAATATAACTAAAATGTGTTAGATCATTTTCTCAGTCTTGGTATAACTTAAAATCCAAAGGACACTTCTTCTACTGGTGCACTTCCTCCACCTTCTTTGGTTGTGTGGCACTATAACAGAGATCAGTCATCACGTAAAGTCGAGTTGTCGACAGGGCTTGGGGTAGGATAATACTGTTTTTTCCCCATGTTCTTAAAAAAGAAGGGCACCAGTGGCTTCCCTTCTTGTTTGTTCCTGCTGGGCTGAGTGGGTGGCCTGGTCTGCTACACAAATGCCTCCTCTATCTCTCACTCAAAGGAGCATCTCTGTCAGTCACAGAGGATGTGTTTACTAAAAGAGTGGCCTAAAAGGGACCTTGCCTCAGCTTGTAGATAGTGTTCTCTCCCTGCAGCCAGACTCAACCAAGCAGCAAATATTAGGCATAATAGCACTTGACAATCAGCAGAAGCTGCATTTAAGTGAAATTAAATTGAAAAGTGGCTCAAGAAAAAAAAAAAAGTCAAGCAAGAGCTGGCAGGGAGCATACCAGTATAAGTTATGGAAGCTCACAATAAAACTGGACTTATTGCGTTTGCCATGTCATTTGTGTCTGTTCATTTTCCTTTAAGCAGAGCTATCATTAAATGATTTCCTGAAGAACCAGTAGATGCCTGACACTTGACAGACCTCAGAGGTACATCACACACACAGAGTAGGATATGGTAGCTTTGAGTGACCATTAGGTGCTATTACCGGCTTTATGGTAGCGGCACCCGGCCTAAGAGCCGGAGGTAATCGCTCATCAAATGCATTTGAGATGCATGAAAGCATCAGGAGATGTTATCACCCAACCGAGAGCAGCAGAGCAACTGATCAGGCCATTTTCCCTGCAGGCACTTCCACTAAGTTGTATGTTTAAGATTTGAAGTTGACAACAAATACATTTGGGACTGGTTGAAATGGGCTGACTGGTGTTTGTGTTCAACAAAAATGTTTTCTAAAAGATGACTTTTTTGAATACTGTGTAATGAAAGACAGTCCTGTTGCTTTGTTTGTAGAAATTGCCTTGTGACTTTAGCGCCACATCATGGCAGGGTATCTTCAGAGTGACTGGCAGAGTACAAAATAACCGTCTGGAACCGGTATTTGCCAACACTCACTGGTGGCTGGTGTTGATTTCTTAACCTTAACACACACTTACTCCCAATGTGTTGTCCCCCTCCTCCTGCGGAGCTGGCAGAGCCTGGCCTGCTGCTCTGCTGTGGCTCCGACTGGGAGTGCTGTGGTGTCGGAGCCAGGCTTCGACCCCTGTGAGCGCCGCTCTGGCCGGCTGATGTGTCAGGTGTACGGGGAATCTTGGGCTGGCTCGCAAATGCAGGGATATAAACGCCACTGATGACAGGGAAAATTTAAGGAAGACGGAGAAGAAATAAATCATGAGCTTTGCTTTGTAGCAGCAAAAAGGTGTAATAACACCACCACACAAACAGATATAAACAGATCCCATTTCACAGAAGGTTTCATGGTTACAACAACAATAGCATTTCACTTGTTTTAGTTGATTACCTCAATTTCTGATGACAACATGGCTGAATATCATTAATATTTCTGAGATATTGAGTGTTTCTGCTCACAGTAGGCATATTGGGTCCAAAATCACTGGTATTATCTGCAATAACTGAAAATGTTACAAAACTCTATAAACAGAAGTGGGTTCTCTAACAAGTTCTAGAAATTTGCATGCTCAGTGCTGTGGGGTAGCAAATTGAGATTAGCATGCATGTTGCATACATTTGCAATTGTCCCCTAAAATCCTACTAACAAAGTGTTGACACTAATACAGTTTGGCTGCTCACTATAAAAGTCTTGTCAGCCAAATTGGGGTGAAATGAGGCTACTAAAGGGGGGATAGGGGGAGGGACAACTTAAGATGTTTCCTGGGACTCATTATTGTTGGTGGGATTCAGGAGTCAAGTTCCTCTGCGATTTAAAGGAGAGGAGAAGGGGAGATTCGATTGAATGAGCCTCTCTGTGGGCACTGCTCGTTTAAAAGCATGTCACAATCTCACAGACCAGCTTGGCAGTGCTGAGTCACCAATTAGTGTCTAACAATTCTCTTGCCTACTGTTTCCACAGACACACATCTACTGGCAGAGAGTTTTACAGGAACCTCAGCTGAGTTATGGCTTTTATTTTATGAGAAGTAGTTACTAAACAACTGACAAAATGCACTTACAAACTGAAGATTTGTTACTGAAATGTTGCAAATGTACTGTCTTGTGTGTAATTTGTGTATCTTGAACCTCGTGCTTTCTCTAGAATTAAACACATTTGTTTGTTTATACGTTTCCTTTCTAAATATCTGTAATTTCCACATCTTGATATACTCAATATCTTCTCCCCTATGCTGTACTCTTGTATTTTATCTTTATATCTAGGTCCTCTTTCTTATTTTATAACCCACTGTTCATCCTGCCTTAATTCAGTGGTTCTGAGAGAATAACAGCCAGCCTGTAGCAAAGAGAGGGGAAAACTATGGTACTACATACAATCAGCTTGGATTGATTTCACTCATGCTTCATTGTTTAACCATCTATAGGCTAGCCCACTGCTGGTGGGTGGTGAAGTGAAATTTTTAAAAAAAATATGACAGGATGGTCTGTGTATACAATCACTGTACTGTAGATTGTCATCCACCTTCTCTCAGCAACTCAAAGCAACTGAACCTATCTGCTGTATCTGTGTAGGCCTTCTCTGCTCCTCAGAACTGACAGTGCCCCTCTTGCAGCAGAAGATCCTCATTCCATTTTCAGTGCCTGCTGAAGCAAGCATCTGCTTAAGTACTATACTGTAAATGTATTATAGATTTCATGTTATATACAACACCCAGAGCACAAACTTTTCATTGCATTAAAATGCACTGTTTCTAATGCATATGACAATACGCTTGAAACATGGAGTTTAGCCTGAAGCCAGTTTTGTAGGCGCTTACACACCCATGACGTAGACAGTGTTCCTTGCTCTCTTAACGTTCACATTTTATATATTGACTGAAAAGCACAACAAGAGCAGTCGCAGGTTCAAATTTCAGTGGGCAAGAGCGAGATGTAAATCAATGTATATTGAATATAGTTTTCTGGTGAGCTCATCAAGGCTCTGTTGCTGTTTCAGCCTTTAAAACACACACAGCCTCATGCGTGTGTGCAGCTAACCTCTGTGTGCCACTTTACCTGGCAGAGTGTCCATTGGGTTCTTCGTGGGAACGTCCTTTTGAGGCTCGCCTCTCATACGGCCTGTCCAACTCTGCCTCCTGGGACAACTGGCCACACTCCGAGTCTGATGGTGTGTGTGTGTGAAACAGAGAGGCAAGAAATATTAGCACTATTAATGCTAAATTCAAAACTATACTGAAATAATACAACAGTACTGCTTCTTATTATCAATAACAAACAGAACCTGCTGACATTCATTTCATGGAAAGCCAAAATAGGTCACTAGTCATATGAAGCCTTTATCTCATATATTTTTTGATAAAGGCTGTGTAGCTTCCTTGCTTGGAAGTGCATTGTGTTCCTGTGAACACTGGGCTTCATATCAAATAAATCCAATACAAACCAAATAAAGAGTAGCAGGTGGAAGGGAAATTAAACCGTCTCACAAATATGCAGCTGATTTTCAGCACACACAAAGTGAATTAAGTATGAGTAATCTAACAACAAACATCTGACGAACGGTCACAGCAATTAGATATGGTCAGAGATTCATTATTGTGCTCTTGTGGAATGCTCCTTCTATCAGATGTTCAGAAAGGATTTAACTATTGATACATGTAATTAGGAAGATGTAGCCAATGTACACAAACACACATCTACCCACCGATACTGTGGCGCAGGGAGTCAGCAGTGCTGGGGCGACTGCTGGAGCGCGTAGGAGGTCGTGAGCTGTACCGGGAAGGAGGCAAACTGTCTGCATCACCTCTGTAAGCGCCAACTCGATAACCACTACACGACACATAAACACACACATACAGTTCAGTTTCTGTAAGAACTTGCATGAAGATGTTCACGTTGGGAGGTGGTACAATACCATAACACATTTTAAAACTGCATTACCAGTACTTCTAGTCAGTTTAGTGAGTTTTAAAACAGTTTATCACGTGTTGTGAGCTGTTCTATTATCTCCAGTGCCAGGTCATGTATAGGAAACCGATGCCTCGCTGCTGTTGTATCCCCCCCACTCTAAAATGATACTGTCTTTCATCCCCGCTGCACACTGTATCTTATAACTTATGGTGACAATGATTTGCCTTTCAGTAAAAAAGCCATCCTAGTTCCAGTCTTCTCCTGCTGACTCACTCACTTACCTGAACAATTCTGTCAGACTTTGCAACAGCAAAATGGATTTGACCCCATTCTTGCTTTGACCTACTGCTCTAGTTTTAATGGCTATAGGAACTTTATTACCCATGTTGTTGAAAAAAAGGGGGCAGCACAATCATTGTTTAAATGACCTACAGGCCAAACTATGAACTATCTGTGCTGTGGTCATTTGATGAGACTTGAGAAAAAAGACAGGGGTGCCATCAGGTGCCTTCGTCCAAGTACACTATACTAAGGTCCTAGGATCCAAGTGCAGAATATAACACTAAAGTTCCCTTAGGAAGAGACAGAACCTTATCCTGCACACTTCCTGTCACTCTAACACTCACAGACACTCAGGATAAGTGGGTCAGCTTAAAGGGGAACTGTCTGACTGACTTTTCCTGTGTATCTGTATTTAACTTACACTGCACTGACATTACGATGAGAACTCGGGGTGACTGGCCGTTGTAGAGGCTCATCAACACTTGGTAGAGGTAGAGGGGTAGACTTCCGCTTCAGTTTTGCCATGTTGGTCAATATCTACACAACCACACACACAAGATCAGTAGCATGTCAACAGTAAAAAAGAAACAGAATATATTACAGTTTTAACCTGGGGTCATCTCTGAAGAGCAGAGACTGTAGTGATGATGTAATGGACGGACAAACGGACAGTAAATAACAGAAATAACATCCATTTTCACTCTAAGTGCCCTACAATACATGTATCCAACACATGTTGCCTAAACAGTGTAAATGGTTTCACACTCATGTGATGAGAAATGACCAGACTAACCAGTCTAACACGGTTTTAATGTTTTGATTTTAAGTTTAGGGAAATCTGTGGTTGTGGATACTGATATTATTAACAAAATTATAAACAATGTGAACTCTGTTTTAGGCTGAAGATTGTTCCATTAAATTAAAATGATAGATGATCTCTGCATGTCTCTGGCCACAGAAACATACAGTATGCCATCTCTAACATAACATCTTGCTATTCACTATAGGCTGAAATAGTCAAACATGTCTGTAGCATGTACACAGCCAGCAGTAGAAATATTTTCAGTTCTCTTTGTCTCAGATATCGTGCCCTTTAGCTGCAGCGTCTTGAACTAGCTACCAACAACATGTTTAGCTGTGCTGAGCATAGTGAGTATATTCTCTCTTACTCCCAGGTACTCAGTGGTGAGCAGACTCTCCCCAGACAGTTCTCTGGGCTGCGGTTGGAGAACTTCCTCTTTGTCAAGGTCTGTCTCCATTAAATCTTCCTGTCACAAGATAATGACAATATATCAGTTAAAAACGACAGAAACTGTGGTGACTATGGTGAGGTGTGTTTAAGAAAAGCTGCACAAAAGAGTGCCAGAAGTTCAGATTATTAACTCGCTGTATTTGGTGACAACAACATGCAATCACATCCTAAATTTTTCTCTGATTAGTTTTTCTTAACGCTGTGTATTCCCATAGCTGTCTGCATAGAGGTGCATGTAATGAAACGGTGAACAGCGTCAGCTTATCAACATCTAATGGTTGAGAAGAGAACTTACATCATTATCGTCGTCCTCTTCTTCATCGTCTGATTCTGGCCCCTCTTCCTCAGCTGAGTGGAACAAAGCCACAGCCCAAGGATTGAACAAGTCAGTATATTTTCCAAAAAAAGGCAAACGCAGTTAGTTTCAGTTTTGTGTAAATTATAAAATCTGGGGATTTTAATTTAAAGGTGCATTAACTAAGACTTTTTTCACTGTGAACTTTGGTGTCTGATGTTTTTTAATCTCACTTGGCCGTGTAGCAGCTGAAAAGGTAGGTAGAGTAGCTTTAGAAAATTCATCAATAAGTATCTAAATTAAAATGGTTATTGCTGTAATTTAACATGAGAAAACACTTTCTACCAGACTATCAGTGTATTACTACTGGTAGTACCACCCAAAAACCTAAATCAACATGACTTCACTAAGGCAGTATTTTATTTCTAAAAGTACCTACAGAGTCAGTACTATAAGCATACACGTTCATAAAGTACATCTATTATAACAATAAATATGAATAAACTGACCCGAGTTTAGCTGTTTAATGATGAACTCAATCTGTCTGTTGAGGTCTGGGTTCTCCTCTTTGCTGTAGCAGCGGAGAATCTCCTCTACACTCTGTATAGGCACACGTGATGGAAACATATGTCACACCAATGCATGCACATAACTTTATAAGCAGCAAGACAAATGCAAAGGCTTTTTAAGCTTCAGAATCAAAATCAGTGACTCAGTACTCAAAGGCAGTTTGCACTAACATTTTGAGGGAGCTAAAAGTGCTGATTGTCAACCTTGTAAGGAGGCTGATACATATAATGATTATAATAATATCTGAGGCATTTTATTAAATGTAATACTTGTTGGGTATTTGTTGGACAGGAGAGGCCGTGCCTCATCTGGACTCTCCTGCAGGTCCAAATTTCAGTGCTGAGTCAGTATGAAACACTGATACAAATACAACCTACTGGCTCACATGTTTCTGGGTACTGTGTCTTACAGTATAACTGTGAACACCTATTGTTTCCCCTCCAAATACTGGCTGTGCAGAGCGAAACGCAAATTGTGCCTGTTTCCTCCAAGAAGGTGAACACATTTCTGCTATCTCACCATCTCTTTGGCTTCCTGTCTGACAGAGGGAATACAGAGGATACTGTACAGGGCTCCATTCACATATGGCCGAATCTGAGGAAAGCAAAACGACACAAACACACAACCTCAGATTTTGTGGTCTCGGGCCACATGGTAGCAGCCTGTCCATGCAGCAACTAGGAAACAAAGTGGAAAGAATATTTATACAGTGCAGTGGATCTGGTAGCTCACAAAAATCTAGAGTATATCACAGTAGGTAAAAAGAACGTAACAATGACACTGCAACAGCTTGACGTTTGAAATACTGAGTGAAGCCAGTGATGTTTATGTTTTGCAGACTTTATTTCTGCCTGCCAAAGAATGCCGAAAATTCTGGAAGACATCATAAATTTCGTTTTATGGCAAGCCTGGATGTGTCTGCTTGGACAAGGGCATTCAACAGTTCAAGGTGTAATAAAGTTAGAAAGTGATTTGTGTATTTATGTGATTGCTTTAAGTTGCCTACTTTTGTGTGCAGATTTTGATTTAATGCTACCAACTGCTGCCAACTTCCCTTTGTTAACAATTATTCTGCCCATTTGTTGTGTGTATGTTCTACAATGTGTTTATACTGTATGTGTTGTATCCACGATTTACACCCTGTGTGAGCGTGTGCCTATTGTGAACATTGTTCATGAAACATATGTGTCCAAGTGTTGACTGATGTGTGACTCACCTCGTGGTTCTCATGTCCAAGGAGGTCAGTCAGAACCTTTAGTACATGCTTGGCATTCTCTGCACACTTCCTTTTTCCTGTTCAAAGACAGCCATCCAACACACACACACACACACACACACACACACACACACACACCCACACACACACACACGCACACACACACACACACACACACACACACACACACACACACACACACACACACATACACTTGAATTTGACAACCCAAAGGTCTTATTTGTTTATCCTAAACTGATTTTTGTTTGCTAGCTACATTAAAATAAGATAAGCTGATTTATTATGGTTATTTTCTTTGTGTTTTATCTTCTGTATATTTGTAACTAAGATGAAAATGAAGCGATAAAGTGTATATTTGTTCATGGTATATGTGCAGTAAGAGGGCAGCTACCCTATAGCATAGATGAAAAAAGAAATAAGTAACAAGGAGAGTGCACTGATAAGGACTGTGTTCAGAAGAAGCTGCAAAAGCTACGGTACACATTTGTACTGGATGCGAACCCAAACAATATTGGCCTTTACTCTGCCTATAATGAAATCATCCATAAGAAACAAACACTTCGTTCACATTACAGGCCTTAATGACCAATTTTGATCTTTCTGTCTAATCCAATCTTTTTGTGTCGATGGTTCACATTCATGCTTGTAAGTGACCTGTATCTGGCTCCAGTATGACCTCCACTGTTGAGGACATAAACTGCCATGCATGAGCAGATTCAGCTGAAAGGTGAGTACAACAATGTACAACAATAACACCAACATTATTTGTACAACAATTTCAGCGCAATTCCCTGAAAAACCGCTCGGTTACAATACGTTCCCTCCAGTCTGGCATGATCAGGAGCTTCTTCAAAGATGTTAAACAAAAGTAAAACATCCTCATCTCCCCACTGATCCCTGTATGTGCTGCTGCTCTCCTCCATGTTTATTTTTACTGGTCTGTGAGGGGCTGACACTGAATGATGATGACATGCGATATGCCTATAATTACAATGTACTGTATCTAGGTTCCGTATCTACCTGTGCCACCCTTTTACCTTTCATTCTCAGACATAGGTTCATAAGCAGAGCTGCAGAGTACTCCAGGGTATAGTCACTCAGGCAGTCTGAGTCCTGCAGCTCATCCACTAGCCAGCCAATCAAACCATCTTCTATCATGGCTGTCTGCTGACTCCTCCTACCAAGACATGATGATAAATGATAGATTACAAGCAAATCAAACACAAACATGTGTGTTCCTCAACAGGAGGGAGAAGAATTCTGTAAGATGACAATTAAGAGCTTTAAAAAGGTGAGGAATTTATCACTTTTGGCTGCCCTCTAAAGAAACTGGAAAAGCAAGGGTTTATAAACACATTGGTCTTTTTAAAATGTACCTGAGGCTGAGTTTCTGTAGGGTCACAAGCACATTCTCTCTAGTCAGGGAGTCTTTTTCCTCATTCCTGAGAGCCTCAGTCAGAAGTTTCAGAAGCATGGGAGTTTGGGAGAGGTAAACACGGCCTGTGAGCATGAAGGCAACATGGCGTTAAGATCCAAAGGTATGGCAATGGCCTACTGAAAATGTAAAACCTCACTGGATGGTGACTTTTACAATGAAAAGCCACAGATTTGTCAATGCACTTCAGGTACAGCTGTTAACACTCAGGAAGACAACTGAACAAAGTTGTTTCCTTGACAAAACTGAATACTGGTTAGACTCACCCATTATGGGTACATGATGCAAAAATATTTCTACCAGTTACCAAGAAGGGATTTTGTTTCAGTGAATTCAGAATGTTCCGGTGTCACGTTACATAGTTCATCAAGCTGTTTGGAAACTGAACAAGCCATTTACCTCTTCCTGTTCAGGCTTATTCTGACTAGACATTCCGGCAACCAAACGCTTCCTTGTTGGTGGGAATGAAAGTTATTTCAGATTCACATTCTTCATCAATGACTTACTGCAGCAACAGTGAGTCATCTGTCTTGGGACAAACAATATTTGTCTTTCAACATTGTCTCTTTTTACAAGATGTCATCCATAGTTAATGGCATGCCGCTGCAGAGGATCATTAGCGGTATATAACAAAAGCCACTGAGGTCTTTCATGAATCTATATGTCTCTGAATACATCCAGTTGGGCAGTGACTCATCTTACAAAGCAATAATAATACTTAACCAAATCTAATGACATCTGAGCACTTACCCTCCACAAGGGATGCAAATGCATTGATGAGACGAGCCATGTATTGGCGGACAATCTCGTTCTTCGACCTCATTAAATGAAGCACAGTTCTCTATGAAGGCACAAAATATAGGGTAGTTTAAGATAATACATGTAGTGCTATGAGGTATGTTTAGTAATATTTTACCGGTACTTTGAAAAGAAGGACCATCACTTATGAGCAGGCCACACATGTTGCTGATGAATGTCAACAGCTGCTGAGATATGAAGATTTTACAAAGTTACCTCCAGAACATTTGATTTCTTTTTCCAATATCTTTGGTCTTACTCTTGCTTAGAAACTCTCATAATTTTATCATTGATTTTATTATCCAGAACCGTTTTCACTGTTTTACAACTGCTTGCTATAAGAACCTCACAAATATTTTGTTTGTTGAATAGCTGTGCTCCTACATATAATGAGGGCAGTTGAGACAGTAAGATGTTAATTTGTCAGTACAATGTTGTTTTTGCACAGAAGACAACTGTATGACAGGCAGAGAGTGCTAAAGTAAAGTTGACAAGGGGTCAAAGATGAGTTCTTAAAGCTACAGTATGTAACTTTTTCGGATAGTTTTGTTGCAGAAATCTGATCCATAACTTGTATTAATGTTGAGAGGTGCTGGCGAAGCCTCCTGCAACCCAGACTCATTGAACAGCACTGGCTGCAGTGCAGAGACATTAGCTTTTAAAAGGTTTTGAGTGGGGTTGACCTCTCTAACCAATCAGAGATTTTCAATTATTTCTGCTGGACCGGTGCATTTTGTTGCATTCTCATTTATTGCAATTTCATAGCAAGAAATATCTGAAGAGCTGGGCAGAGCGTGGCGGAGCGTAGCAGAGCATAGTGAAGCAGGGATAGGGAGCGCTGGGCAGAGCAGAGTGATTTGATTTGGAGTTTCATGCTAGTGCTACCTGAAGTTGCATACTGTAGCTTTAAGAATCCACTGAGGCAGCTTTATGGAGTTGGCCTGATCAGACAGATGGGTATAATATCTGTGTTGTAAGAACCACCACTTGGCTGGACCACAAGCTGAACAGCACACTGGGAAAACTCCTTTTTCCAGATAGCCAGTCATGTATGCTTTTGGCCACTGTCAAACGCAGAACATTAGAACATTTATGCTTGTGGGTTTGATTACAAGAGACTGACACCCACCCCTGTTATTGTAACTATCTGCAGTAAATGACTTTACAACACGACTTGGAGCATCATGGCAAGTATAAAGACAAATAGCAGAGCTGTTAGGTGAGGACCATTTAATGTCTGTAAAATACAGCACCCTACAGCTAAAGGCCAGGAGAAGGGAATGTGAACAGAATACAGAAGAGAAGAAAGAAAGAAAACCTATAAAACAGATGCGGCTCTAAGGCTTCTGAAAGCCTTTTGAGAGGGTTAAATATGGAGTCTGTAGCATCTGTTAAGTAACAAGGGGATGCCACTAAATCTGAGGCATGGGACATGCCATAAGAAGTTTCCAGCCAGATTATAAAATTATTAAAATAATTTATAGCTACATAAATCGTATGTTGGAAACTCAGGGATCAATTTGGATTAGGTACGAGTTTCTCTGACTATATATTTCTGTGTATCCAGAAAAGGTGCCAGTCTGCTGGCTCAGACTTGCCTGAAATTAAAGCCTTAGGATTAATTACACAGGATAATAGAAAATCAATTTCACTGTCATATTCAGTTTATATCACAAGTCATTCTGTGAGAATTCTCCACCTTGGAGTCATACTTTAATTAAAAACATATACTACAATTTACAATATGTAAAAAACCCCAACAACAACAACAACAACACACAATATTATTATGATAGAATCAGTGTATCTCACCTGTGTAGTGCTGTAGTGGTCCAGCAGATCATTGCTGATATAGGCCTGAAGCACCATGTCTCTCTGTTCACCAGGGAGCGAGCGAGTCAGTCTCTAAAGAAAACACAAGAGGAACAGACCCAACAATGAAGGCTTGAAAGACTGATGATGCAAACTGAATAAATGCTCTTCTCTCATCTATACTTTCACACTGCTGTACTCAGGATATTCTCTAAAGGAAAGCACTTCACCTAATAAGTGTAGCAATGACTATCATGAAAAAACTATAATATGCAAAATAAGCCATATAGCATAAAAAACATAATGACATAATGACTATACTGTAAATAACAATATGAATAGTCACCCAGCGCAGTGCCTGAAGTAGCAGAGACCTAAGCCTGTCTGAGCCTTCAACCAGGTCTTTTTTCAGCTTCTCATAGTCTAGTGAGGGCAGCATTGGCACCTCCTTGGACCTCCTGGACATTAATAAAAAAATACAGTCATGTTTTGTCAAGGCCCTTATCAGACTGTACACAGTAGGAAACAACCTCTTCAAATTTAAGACTCACTGCGGTGCAATGGACGCTCGTAGCATAGAGGAGGCCTGCAAAAGAAAGCAAAAACGAAAACAACAAGAACAGAATAGTTTTTAGAATTTGATTATTTAGGCTACATTTATTACATTCTTACTTTGAACTATGGAAAACATGACCCATGAGACTGTGTTATCTCCGTTTTGTTGTCTTCTCACCTTACTTACCATGGTGCATTGTTCTTCATCTAAATCAGTCAAGTTACTTACGAACCAAATAAGTCATTAGTGTGTTTTCTGGACATGCATACATCATGCTTCTGGCACATGCTGAATTCTTGGACATACATTATGATAATGTGTGGCGACTTCACCCATGCAGTCAGTGAGAAGTCGGCTAGGTTAATGCAAAAATTAAAAAGTACCACAGAGCATGGGTTAGTGTGAAAGCATTGTTCCTTCTGTTCACTTGTATTGTAGGCCTGTATGTAGTCATGAAGGAAGTGTTAAACTGCTGTTTTTGACTAATGAAAGGGGATTTTGAGCCCTGAAATCGAATCCGAAAGCAGGATGGTTATGCCCATTGCAGGAGCAGTGTAAGGTCAGGAGGGTGAGCTGTGTCGGCTGTGGTATCAGGTTCTCTGTGTGCACTGTTGCTTTGGTGTGCAGTAGGTAATACGGAAATGGAGGAGAGCAATGATACCTGGATAAATAGCCAAATTCCTTTCTCTCTAAACATTTCAGTGGCCCCACAACCTTCTTCATGGCACCTGAATAATTAGACTCTGGGGGGCCTGGCCCCTTGAGAGCCCATTTAAGAGTGGCATCAAACTGAGGATTATGTATACTATGCATAGGTATATTGCAGACAATAAGTAGAATGTCTTTGCTCTCTAGTCTAATCTAGGTTTTACCAGGGTAGCAAAAATCTGTGAGAGCCATCTCAATGTAATCAAGGCACAAAGATTCCAGTAATAATGGTCAATTATGGTGTTATGTTGCCTGCGTGAGGACAAATATGGTCCTGACACAGGTCTCAGCTATACCTGAGACAAATGTTTTATCCAGGTTAAGAGGCATGTTGACCATTGTTCACAAGATCTCGGAAATCAGAGTCGGAAATGAACATTAACTACTACATGTAGCTAAATGATGGTAGCAAATGCTGGAGCTGTTCATTTTATTCTCATTTACAGCTTTTTTTAATACAACAGTTAAAGGCTTGCATTGACATTCCTTGGACATTATATAATTTAACATATTGTAATGACCCCTGGCGTGGAGGAGAGAGACTAACTACACTGGTACAGCTAAACTAGCTAGCAGGGCGCTAGCACCTATGCTGATCTTGGTTAGCGATTATTCCAGGCCCCATACACCGCACGACTCTGGATATCGCCTAGGCGTGACCTTTTACAGTGACCACAATGCAACACTGCTTTCTCTGTCATTTATTTAGAACCACTGAACAATGGCACTTCCCCCAGGGTCAGTCTCACACATACAAGCCAAACGGACGGTCCAAAACACAGCACAGCAATTACCTTAGTAAAACATCGTCAGATAACACACCAGCATAAGTCAGCAACACTAACACATAACAACAATGGGGTAACACATCAGAACACTTTAACTATAATTTTATAACTGCTCTCTCTATTTACTGAACTCCCATGATGCACCTCTGCATCATGCAGCTGCCACCAGACCCCCCAATGGCTGACGTGGATCGTCACAATATTATATGTTATAGTAGATGTTTAAACTGAGTGCCTGCTGCTAATGGTGTTAAGAACCTTGACAATTATATAAAGTGCTCTGGTTGCCTGTTTTCAAGTGACTGTAGTTTAACCTAGCCTGTTTGACAACCTGAGTGTGAGAAGGGTTTTTACACCAAAATGCCTTGTGTTGTTGTCCTTGTCATAGTGTCTGTTTAAATCCTTTAACAAACTATATCATTAAAAAAGGTAAAGGAAAGAAGACTGAAACTAACAGTGTTTATCCTAAAATGAATACAGATAAGGAGAGCTGGAAACAGGGAACAATGACTATAGTCTCTGGGAACAAAATAATTTAATGATGAGGCACGTCCTAAAAGAGATTGTTTGGCTTATCTAGTGACCTGACAAAATGAGCCCAAACATCCCTTCAATCCCGCCAGAGGAGCTGGAAAATGTTGCCAGAGAGAGGAACGTCTGGACTATCCCGCTGAACCTGTTGCCACTGCTACCTGGTCTCAGATAAGCAGAAGAAAATGGATGGATGGATGAATCCCTTCAAACTAAAACAAGCTAGTAGGAACCAGGGGAAAATGGAAGGATACAGACTGAGTACAAATAAAGGCCAAAAATGTAAAAATGAAGTAAAGCAAAGGAGAAACAGACATAAAGACAAGGACAGGAGGAGGTGGACAAGGCATTCGGTGAGGTACAACAAGGTGAGAGGTAAGGGCCAGACTCATGAAAGGAAGTAAAGATGAAAACATATGAAACTTACATAGCCATCATCACAGGCACTCATAGAGTAATATCCCTTTGTAGATAAAAGCATCATACAAGCAAAAACACAAACACACAGAAAGAAATTGTTCAGTTCAAATCAGAAAGCAACCACATTTCACAAGCCAGAGTCCAACAGCACAGTGACTGTCACTGAGACTAAGCAACTGTCAAGGTGTCAGTGTGGACAGTTTTGTTTCGGTTTAAAGTAATTCTAGTGTTTTATGTGTTATAGAGCCACACGTAACAACTATTACACACTGTCAACAAGTAGTGTTTTATGTGTTATAGAGCCACACACTGTCAACAAAGATATTAACATTTTCACCACATATCTGCTGTTTCATTTGAAACTCTAAGGATCATTTTTATTATAACTAGTAATTGAAATTGTTTATTTCCTCTTTTCAAAGTTGTGTCAGGTGTATTCAACTTTCTAACAAGCTTTGGGTGTGAATTAATGCACCGCCATGATGCAGTCGCCTTTTTCCAGGATTCAAGGTGGATGATTACTACAAGGCTTAAAGCTGACTTGATATACAGGTTGCCAAGACACTTTATGGGAAATGAACCCTCCTGAAACATCTTTCAAAATTCCTTTTTAAAGACAATGTCAACTTAATCAATATTTGTGACATAAGGCCCAGAGCGTGTTTTTTCTGCTAGTATTTGGTATATGGTCTTATACTTGTATAATGCTTTTTTATGCACTGAAGCACACTCAAAGCACCTTACACTCTTTATTTCCCATTTGCACACACAAACACTCACACATTCACACACTGGTGATACCACAGGGAGCAACTAGGGGTTCAGTGTCTTGCTCGACATGTGGACTAGGGAAACTGGTGATCTAATCACCAACCCTACAGTTAGGGGATGACTCACTCTATTTCCTGAGCCACAGCTGCCATGTCTGTGTACTGTGGTGACTATGCTATCGCTACCACAAACCATCCTTTAGGTACTGTTTAGGTGTAGGACTGTAGCTGCTCTCAGTAGTCCCCCACTTGACATTTTCTGTGCTTTTACTGAACATGCTTCACCTCAAGGCCTTGTGTTTTATTATTTGTCTACCTGCAAGGCTTGATGAAGAAAGAGAGAGGTCTGCGTGTGCTCACTCACAGTGCCAGGCCTGGTGAAGTCAGTGCTCTGCACCACACTCTGCCTCATCTGGCTGCTGAACAGTCGAACACACACAGTCTGTAGGTACTCAGGGGAGATCTGCAAAAAACACAGCATGCCCCCTAAGCTTTAGAATGCTGTGTGCAGACAGAAGGACAAAGAGCAGTTTTGGCCTTTTTTATGTCCCTGTTTAACAGTCACATCATAAAATAACAAAGTGCATAAGTGTGCATATTGAAAATATTTATTTATAAAAATACATTTTGTGTTCTGACATACATTATAGCCATATGTACTAATAAATATGAATGTGAAAAAGCTCCATATTCCTGAAATAGGATGCAGCAGCAAATAAAATCTTAACTCCAGTTGACGGTACATAAAAGTGTGTCCAACGGGTTTTTACAATTTTGGTGACCACCAGCACTGGCACATATTGGCCGCAGTGAGGTACAACGGGGCTGTGTGTTAGAATGTGACTTACCATTTTTCCGCTGACAGTGGCTTCCAATGAGTCAACCAGATCAGCAGTGATTCCAATCAGGTTGTGGTAGTCAGCCTGCATCTTGTTGAACTTTCGTACATAGCTTGCCATGCGCCGTTCTGACTGAACCAGTTGGAGCTGTAACTGCTGCATTGCCTCTGTGCAATTATACATAGACACATGTTGCAAAAAACAAACACTAAGAAATAAACTACACTCACGTCATAAGAGACATTCTCTGCGTAACACTGCGTTAAAGTGTTTGTCAACACATAAAATGTTTAATTTGAAAATTAGTAATTATTAACCTTTATTAGTCTCTGTCTGCAACCAACTGCAACATTGACAGAACTCGTTCTTCAATTTCCCATCATTACCTCTGTCCTTTTGAATTATTGAAGCCTGTCACTTACAAGCAAATGTCAAAAGAATGATACAATTTATCTAGGTGATGTATATGAGGAAAGTTGTGTAATAATGTGACTTTGTCATTTGTGTTTTGTCTACATTAAGTAAGAGCTGATGACACTGAAACTGTAAAATATAATGCAGGGACAGATGTAATACTTGCAAGGCAGATTCATTTAGAGGGACATTTACCTTTTATACTCCTTCCACCCTCTTTCTGAATGATTTATGTTAAAGAATACTCATTATCACTGAAGTGAACACTAATCAGACATTTCTAATATGTGTGTCCATATCAAGTGATCTCACCCAGAGCTGCGTTGAACCAGTGTAAGAGCATGTAAAACTACAATGCCATTGTTTTTGAAGTAGGCAAATTCATCACAGAAACTATTTGTTTAAGATAAAGCTAATCTATTTCATTTTATGAAAGAGATACAAGTGCAGCTATAGAATAAATGCTTGCTTGTTTTAGAGGGAGGGGTAAATCTACAAGATCCTGTGGTTCAACACACATGAGGATTTAATCTGAGGTTTAAATGTGCAGATCAGCCACAAGAACAAATGAAAACCAGCAGTGTATTTATTAGTTTAAAGCCAATTTCTAAAGACACTTACTGAATCTTGTTTGATATTTTTCTGTTTTATAAGACATCCTGTGACGTTTGTGAAGTGCTGTATAAACACTGGTCTAGAGAGTTAACCACTAGCAATTTAGTACGATACTGCTGCCAAGGACCCAAATTAATGGCTGTGTAAGAACTGGACTGAAAATGTCATAGATAACACTTTTTGTCACACTATTTATTTTGCTATGATGGTGGTTTGCCATTTGTAATACAAAATGTAATTTCACCCCTGATCTGTACTCAGATGATTTTTCTCAGCAATGATGTGAGCATGCCATGATAAAGGATACATACAAACTCAGCAACCGTGGGCTGCTGGACAGTTTTAATGTCACTGACAGAAACTGCTCCAGCTTATCCTTCAAATGTGGTATCCAGGAATCCTAAATTGACATAATTTAGGTTGGAAAAAAATATTAGGCTCATTCTGAAGTGGCACTAAACAATAATGCTGAATAAGTAACAACTAGTTCTCAACTAGATAATGTTCCACAATTAGCTGAGCACCTGGAAAAGGCCTTTGAAGGAGGGGTGGACAGTGGGGTTGGGAACAAAAGGCAAGGCATAATAAGGCAGAAACTCTGCAATCTGGCTCAGTGCTGCTCCTCGAGTCTCCAGGTACTGCTTGAAGTGGGAAATCCTCTCCTCAAACTCAGCTTGGTCCTGTAGACAGGTTCAACTTTTCCAATGAACTGATTCATTTCAGCAAAATGTGAATTCATCCTTTCACATCACTTAAAACACTTCTTCTGTTGTATATACACACTATCTTCAATGACATGATTCTTTCTTATGGCCTGCTACCACCACCAAAAGCTAATCAAGCTGATCTTTTTTAAATAATTTATATCCATATAAATATATAAACTCAAACTACACTGGCCTACACAACGAAAGGCATATTATAGAAGTTAAAAATTAAGAACACAACCACTGAAAGCACAGTGAGAAAAGAAGCTTGTAGCGCAGCTTAGTGGACATTTTGAAAAATAGCACATAATGATATAACTATGTTGTTTGCAGCATATCTAAAATGGTTTAAATTTAAACAAAAAAGAAAGACACACTTAGATGTACATACATGTCTACCAGGGTGTGTCCTCAGTGGATAGATGGTGAAATGGATGTAAAGGTAGAACTCCAGGCTCTGGACCTCACCATCTTTGTTCTTTACCTCAGAGGGAATATTCTCTGTCCACAGTTCAAAGAACACCTTCTGGTCTCCATCGTCAAAAGACCTCAGGAGGTCTTTCTAGAAAAGATACAGTGGGAGTAAACAAGTCTGGGTGGGTTAGGGGAAAACAAGAACTCTGGTAAGATGTTATCCACCAAAGAGTGAGGTTTTGTATATGATCATTTTATTTACATATCACACAGTGATAACTAATATGTAATAATAGGGTTATCCCTGCCACGGAAAAGCTTAGCTGCAGCACCCAAGTGTTTTTGCAAAGCACCTTATGTCAAACGAACGAATGCTAAAAACAATGTGCTATGCACTGAAAATAAAATACTGAAATAATTAAAATAACTAATAACTAAACTAAAATAACTCAAACTTTTTATCAAATCATTTCAAAATCCCTAGCCACCACAACCCCCTTAACATAGACTGTACCTAAGCCCTCTGAAAACCTATAACATGAATAACATGAGCAACACTTTTTATAAATACCTGACAATGTTTAAAGGGAGAAATAGAAAAAAGCCTAAGTTTAAAAAGCTAGTACGTTTTAAAATAAGTAAACTTGCCATTCTTGAGTCTCTGTCCTCTAGGATATCTAAATCAATTGCTTAGGTAAAGCAAGTTGCCAAGTTTCATAATAAAATAAGCTCAGGCTTATTTGTCTCTTATACAGTATGTCTCAGGCTGTAACAGCTCAGTGGTAATAATCTGCAATGTGTGGGCACAGATTCTCCATTTTTCAGCACTCTTCTTGTCCATTCTAAGTTACCACCTCCACAAATAATTAACCTACCTGCAGGAAGAACAACGTATGGAATGTATTATTTACCTTAATTTCATGAGTCTTTGAGTCTCCAGTACTGCCTTGGAGCTTTGGAATGACCCTGCCTCTGCGTTTGCACTCTCTGTCGAAACTGTGAACAGTCTCTTCAAATTCCTCAAATTGAAGGTACTACAAAAGACAAAACAAGCACAAATGACGTAAACTCTAGCTTAACCAGCACATAATAAATCTGTCATTCAAATTAAACAAGCTGCACAACTCTTGCCTTAGCAAATATAATTCTATATCAAGCATGGTTTGTTGGATAAAAAGTTGTGCATTTTGTTTACATTTAGTGGATGTGTATTAATGGTTTCCCTGTACGATTTCTCAAAATCTAAACAGGTTACCTCCTTTATCATCCCAAGAAGATCAGCTTCAGTTGCCAAGATGTCACCCATCTTGGTTGCCTCCCTGGAACCCATGTGAGTGTTCAGAACCTTTAAAATACCCACCGACAGCAAAGATACTCTCATTAAATAACATTTGTAACGTTACTTCCAGCAAGCATTTTGCAGAACATGCAATGGTAGGATAGCACATGGTTGTGTAAATAATGATGAAAACTAACTTGAAGCACTTTCGTTTAAACAAGGTACGGAGTCTTTGTGTCAAACTAAAATTGAAGTGACGTTGGGTTATCGTTAAAGCTGCAAAGGTTTTTACAACAGTAATAGAAATGTTTTAACCAAATAACAGCCATCCCATATTTGCCGGAGTTTTAAAGCTCTAACGTTAAACAGTACATAAAAGTCAGATTCCCGCTTCCTCCCCCAGTTTTTAGCATCACCTCTGACAGTAAACTTCATCGACAACGAAGCAAAAATATCGCAAGTAATACTAATTTAGCTGGCAAGCCACTTCACTTTGACGTTAAGAGAGGTTATCAACATCGATCTCACCTTTTCGCACAGCATTCACTTTGTAAATATAGATACAAGCAAATTTCAACGCATCCACCCAAATCTGAAACTTATACTATTCATTTTCGGAAAGCCTTATATACCTCGCTTACGTTAAGCCACTAATCAACTAGCCTTTAGCTAGCAACCGTAAACAGAAAGGACGCCGAAACACCTAGCAACCAAATGTTTGGGACATGCACACCGGAAAGTAGATACTTATGTCGCAAATAGTGATACAAATGAAGGCATTCTACACTCACACATTCGGTTCTACTAATATGACACAATTGTTTAAAATTAGTAGTTCGTTAGTAATTTGTGGTTACTACTGCACGTTCGGGAATGTTTTCTGCTGTAACCATGAATGTATCATAGGCCTAATTAACGACAGCCAGGGAACGATTTTCAACCGGAAGCACTTTGCGTAGAAAGGGATTTGTTCCTGCGCGGTACTGTCTGTTTCACATAATGATGAATGAAGTATTACTCAAATAAGATATCTGGATTTAGCGCACACTTTAAACACCCATTACCATAAAAAGCGACTGAGTGCGAGCGACGTTAGTGCATACACAGAATAATTTAAGAACTTATATAAGGTAAGCTTTGGGGAATTGTTCGGACAACATGCTAAAGCTAACAGCTAGCATGAATAGGACACGTTCAAGTCTCAGTTAACTTTATGAAAGTTCAAAAGACCTAAATTGAGTTGCCTCTAACGTTGTGTCAGGCAGCATCTGTGTCAGATTAATTTTGGATCAGTGTTTTAATAGCCAGTGATTTTTTTTTAGCTTGCATACTTAGCTAAAGCTGATGTTTATATTCCACATGGGTTCAATTCAGTGGAGTTTATCTTTTTGTCAAGCGCGAGTTGAAGCTAGTTAGTGTTGGGAAGTAGCTTTACCCCAGCTAAACTACAAGCCAGGCTGTACCCTGCATTATTTTGACAAAATACTTTCAGGTTAAGGCACAAAACAACGTTCGTGATAACGTGTGTATTTTCAGTAAATCGGCTGTGTTCTAGAGTTAGACTGATGATAATTTTCTTAATCTCAGCGTCTTTCTTCATTTAATGTGTACAGGCTGCCTCAGACCGTGGATGATCTTAATAAGAAGCACAATGCCTTAACCCATAACTTTAAACCCTCAGAAAATGCATTTAAAACTTTTAAATGTGCATTTACCAGCATTGTGCTACTATCACTTGTTGGTGTTTAGTATAAAAGATCTTCCTTCTGTCGTTTGCAGCATTTCTGTCAATAATAAAACCTGTAAATAAAACTGTAAAACTATACTGTTACAGCTATTAGTATATATATATCCTTATTAATATAAACATCTCCGTATTACAGTCTCTATCATGCTTGCAGACATCTTGTTTCTAAAATAATACTTTTCCTATAATATTTTTTCTAAACAAAAACTGACTTAATTTTTCTTTTCCAAGTTTATAGACCAGAACAGAGATGGCTGGAATTCTGTTTGAGGATATCTTTGATGTAAAAGACATCGATCCAGATGGCAAAAAGTTTGACAGAGGTGTGTAAATGTCTATAAATCAAGGCTGAAGACCATGGAAAATTATAACACAAGCCAACAGCCAAATGCTTTTGTATTGTCAAGGCCTTTGGTATATACTATATTGGTGATTTCTACAGATAATCAACCATCAGGCACCTTACTCATAAAATATACACACAATCTAGCCAAACTATTGCTAATGTTGCTTGCACATTCATTAATTCAGCTTCAGTTACTTTCATTTTTTGTAGTTGAGCTTGTGCTACTGAGTTATTACTTAACTTTTATTTACATTCAGTTATGTGCCATTAGTAGTAGTATCATACATCCAATGTTGTTTCAATTAGTGTTTAATTTAAAGCCCCTATTCAAGTACCATAATTTACTCTGCGATGGTTGATTATTTGTTACAGTGTCTCGACTACACTGTGAAAGTGAATCTTTCAAGATGGACCTAATCTTGGATGTGAACATTCAGATCTATCCTGTTGATCTTGGTAAGAAAGTAACACTTTTTCCATGTGCATATTTGTTTAGTATAAGTTGAAGACAGGACCTTGCTAAATAGTTGGTTTTGCCAGTAACATACATTAATCATGATAATATACATTTAACTTATAACAGTACAACTAGAAGAAGTGGCCAAAAGAAGTCATGTCAAATTTTAAACTTAAGCCCTCATGGTTTTGGGAACACTCATGCAAGTGAGTTGTGTATTTCGATTCTCTAGTTTCAACCCAAATAAAACCAACTGTTTGTCCCAAAACCATACTTCAGAAAATTCGCCATCAGTACACACTATGATAAACCCAGTGTGTGCTTTTGTGTCTGCTTTGTTAAGGTGACAAGTTCCGACTGGTTATTGCCAGTACGTTATATGAAGATGGAACACCAGATGATGGCGAGTATAATCCTCAGGATGACCGGCCTTCTAGGTACAGCATTCCACATCTTCATATATTTGCATGTAATATTACCAACACATGCTATTTGGTGGCATGTTTATAAAAGGATTTAATACCATATTTGTTTACAATTTCAGTGTAACTGTCTTTTTTGCTGGTTTAGATTGCACTTTCACTTTGTTTGAATTTCCAGAGCAGACCAGTTTGATTATGTGATGTATGGGAAGGTTTACAAGATTGAGGGCGATGAGACTTCTACAGAAGCAGCTACACGCCTGTGAGTGGTGTTGCGTATATGTTTATATAGTAAATCAGTTTAATGTACCATTAGTATAATAACAACTTACAGTAAATTGTAATTAATTTATGTGACTAGTTATTAGTTATTTTAAGAAAAGCATTTCCAAATTATGCAAGTCATTTTATTTATTTATTTTTTGTAGCTTTTCACCTTCTTCATTGTTAATGTGTGTATGCCTCTACTTTTTGCAACCATTAATGCATTATTAGTACACAAGTGACCACAGTAGCATATGGTACCACACTGCTATGCTTACTACACTTCTAGGCTACACAAAACAAAATTTTACTGTATGTTAACAGCTATGTTACCTGAAAAAAAGGCTATAGGTGGTTTGTAAGTGAATCCTTATTAGCACACTTATATTTACTATTCCTGAATACTCATTACAGTGATGAGGGAATGCATGTGCATACAGCTATACAGTTTTGGGAATATAGATATATGGATGTGCTGCTTCTTTCAGCTCTGCCTACGTGTCTTATGGGGGACTCCTCATGAGGCTCCAGGGGGATGCCAACAACCTCCATGGCTTTGAAGTGGACGCCAGGGTTTACCTCCTCATGAAGAAACTGGCCTTCTAAACCCCAGTTTTGCTTGCACACTTACCTTGGTTCTTCCAATGCCACAGTCAACCCCAAAGTCATACTGATGTGCATAATGAAAACATTCATATTCTCAAGTCTGGAGCACCTGACCTTCTCCAAGAGAAGCTTACTGACAGAACATATGGTGGCTGTAGAAAACATTTTGTTTTTATTCTCAGTTACAAAATGTTTTTTCCGAGGAGATGGACTACAGACAAAAGACTGTGACACTTAGGAACTGCTGCAACCTCAAACTGTAAATAAAGCTTTGTTTTATACAAAACAGTTCTTAGTCCCCCACCCTGGGTCACACCATAATTAATTTTTGTCTTGGCATATTTATTCTTTTTATAACCATACACAACTGCTTAGGTGCTCTTTCAGACATGTTGAAATACATTTTATTTTACTTGTCAAAAAGAATCTGAAGTAACATGGTTTTTCAACATGTAGTCTGCAGGCAAGCTGTCTTGCAAAAGTTAAGAGGACATAAAGCTTTATAAAGAGGCTGGCGCTAACTGGGCAATGTAGCTCACAGGGCAGTGATGTTTTGATGAAGATGAATACAATGTATTATGCACTGAATTTAGTATATTCATACTGACCATGAATTGATGCATTATTTTTTCATTTATCCCTAAAACCAGTAAGTGAAATAGATATGTGAAGGCCACAAATACATGGGCCACAGTTCTCTTTTGCAGTGCTACACACAGAATTCACATGACTGCTCTCCATCACTGAACATACACCAACTCACACAGACACACAAACAGCATTGCAATCAGTATTCAACATATGTATACAGGTCTCAGAAAGAGAAGCTATTAAACTCTTTATTAAAATATAAACCTGTTTTATAGTGCTTTCCATACATGAATAGTTCCCGGGTTAAAAGCATCAGTACTTGCGTTGTTTTTGATGCATCCTGGCAATGGGACCTTATTACCCAGTGTGCCATAGGCAACTGTTCTGTATTTGCTTGGATGGCAACAAACTAAAATGGACTTTAAGGAGACAAAAAACTGAGTTAAGAGTGAAGAGACAGCGTTTGTGTGCAGTACAGGCTTCTCTGTCTGTGGTAATAGGTGTCAGGATGGGGAGTGATATTACCACTGACTGGCACACAAGCCCCTGATATGTACATGGTGATGCCCAAGAATAAACTTGGGGCCTTAGAAAAAAAAAAAACAGTACGAAAGAAATACTGTATGTTTATGAAAGCTAATAGCAGTATTTTAGTACTGCAGCAGCAGATTTACTTTACAACACTGCTGACCATTTACCAAAGCTTAGCCTATAGTCTACTCTTTTTTTTTGCGATTTTAGAATGTGACTTCTCTCCCTTGTAGCCACCCATTGCTTTCCATCCATTTTAATGTTAAACACTCAAATTAAAAATGCCCAAAATGAACATTAGTATTCCTAAATAATACTCACAAACCATCATTACCGTGTATGTCACACACCTGTGTCACGAACACTAACCTGACAAATGAACATCAGCTTGGACTGAGACCATTTTTTTTTAGTCCGCCTGACCGGAAGTGATGTCGATTGGATAAATTGCGCAAGAGCTCAGCAGCTGCCTTTGGCTGTTTGCAGGTTGGGCGGACGACTTCTTGCTGAGGGAGTTTAGCGGCTTCAGGGATTACACATGCACACCTTGTTGCGATAACTAGGCTGCGACAATATGCGGTCCTATTATTTTCTTCTATCTGGCTGCAGGCTAGCTTGGTAACACGTACCTCGGACGCGCTGCGCTCGAGATTATGCCAGGTGTGGTGTGATGAGTCCCAGTATAGGAAGGTTATGACAGCCAAACGCGATGGATAATCGACGGAAAAAGAAGCTGACATTCTTCACTATTGGGTTAATTTTTTTTCTTAGCGGTGTGGAATATGGTAAGAGCTGTTTTGTGGTTATGACATTGGCTTTTACGGTCGGTGTGAACAGTGAACTCACAATGGAACACAAAAAAATAAGTGAATGTGAAGAATTATTCATTTCCCCGTTTAAAAAAAAATAATTTGAGGGATAGCAACATAGATTGTATTACTTAAAGTATTGTTGTAGATGAAGATAATCACATTATTCCACTAGTTATAGGCTAAAGCCATGAAGGCTGAATTTTATTCTTTTTCAGGAGTATGGAGGAATAGCTCTAGAATCTACTGCACTCAAGGTAGTTTGACAAGTTTATCTGGTTGTCCACCTCAGATGTTTCACATAAATGTGTAAAGAAAAAAAAATCTACACCCGGCCCTGTACTGAGTACAGGTAAATTAAGTGTCCCAGCCCCACCCCTTTATGAATGAGTTTACTTGTTCCTGTGTATTATGCTCATCAGCCTGGCTCTACCCATGTCAAAGCTTTCTTCACCTTGCCAATGTTAGTTTATTTGTTCGTACTGTTTAATCTGCCTCAGAAAGACATCGTTCAAAGTGTGGGTGTGTGTGTAATTGTAGAACTATAACACTTTCAAGTTATTAAAAGCCCCAAATACCTTTAAGGAAATGGATTTGACATCTGTGTTTTTGCCACAGCCAGTTTTGGGGCCTTTATATTGATGGTACTGAAACCATGGTTACAACATGATTTACACAAAAAAGTAAAAATAAAGTCAAAAATGCCTGATTTGGAAACAGATAGCACTTTTTTTCTTTACTGGAAACTCCTTGCACTTAAATGCAATCCAATAGAACATCACTAACAACACCCCTAAAAAAATTCCAGTAAGATTCAGAATACTTTTGTGTTGCCATGTGCAGTTTTCTTAGTCAGGCACTGTTGGTGTTGTCTTAAAAGCCATAACCAAGAAGCAAGATTCATCTTTAACTTCCCCTGTCTCTTTAAAACTATGGCAACCAGATGACAAGAATATTTGGGAAATTGTTTTATTTTTGGAATTTTCTAAGAACGTGCATTACATCTTCTGACCCTAAAATTGAATTTGGATTGTACTGGGTAAGCACTATCCTTTGTCTATGTGAAAATAAGACTGGAAGGAATGACCAGAAGAAAGAGCTACCACTACAGCCAAAGTTCAACTTCACTGCATATTCAGACAGCTCTTCCACCATTAGCAGCAGCAGCAGCAACAACAAAAAGTTACAACATAACATATGGGCTTATTTCTTTGTTTCTACAAAGATGTGACATGATGGCCAAAGGCACTAATATTTGATTGAAATGAAATCTGTGTGCAGATCCAGCTATGATAGGTAAAATGTATAGTTTATGAATTTACTATTTGAGGAAAACATGCACAATTACAGTGATATTCTTAGTCATTGCACTGACTTAACTCAGCCTAAATTCCACTGAAAGGCTCTAGGGATTTGCAGGTTCGCAAATAACCCCGGTGAGATACCTTGGTGATGAAACCTAGGTAATTATTCTTGTGTACATGCAGCCTAACAGAGCTGCAGTGTGGTCCTCTGGGTTCATATACGGTTTTATATACATGTGACTCAGCATCACTGAGTTAGACCGTGTATGTTCAAAAGATTTGGAAGTAATTTATTTTCCAGTATGTTCAAAAGATTTGGAAGTAATTTTCCTAGTTGACAATGTTACTACTTCAGAAGAGTGTGTATTTCTAGAATCAGATGGAAACTGATTACCCTCATGTCTCCTTTCCCCAGCTGTAATATTACCCACAATATGGAGGTACTTGCAGACCTTAAATGCAGCTCCTTACTTCCTGGGTTTGGTCCTGTCTGCATTTAGCTTCAGTGGCCTCCTTTCAGGACCATTGTTTGGCCACTGGTCTGACAGAACAGGTACCACCAAGAAGATCCTCTTATTTGCCAACCTTTTTGAGATAGTTGGTGAGTCTGTTCTTTTCCTCCACCCAAATTTTCTTTATTCCTCCAGTCATAAGAATTGCTTAACTATGCCTGATCATGTTGCTTTCAAAGTGTCAAAGCATGTGCTTGACTTCCCTTGGAAAAACAGTGCTTATGTTTGATTGCAACTATACCGCTGCACTGGTTGAAACTAACAAGCTACAGTTGATGTGTAATATGCAACAGAATACAGCAAGAGTTTGTAGATTACATGTAGTTACTATATCCATTAGCCAATAATTAATCTCTGCAAGCCCTCTATTCTGTCAGCTCACTGTGTAAATTGTGTGCTCAAGCAAGAACATTTTGGGTTCATGGCCTGTTTAACCCACTGGGCATCTTGATCTGGAGATGACCTGTTAACTAGGTTTGGAAATTGATGTGAAAAGCAAGGGATGACAGAATGGGGGGGTTGGACACTGTCAGGAAGACACGATAAAGTAGTGAATCAGAGAGGACAGAGAAGATGGGCGGAACAGGAGCCGGTGAAGAGGGAAGACAGAGGACTGACTGAATGGGTGACAGACTGACTTTGTTAATTAATGTAACTAAATGACTGACCGACTGACAATTCTCTTATCCAGTACTTTTATTTAGTTTTTTCTGTTATTGTAGTAATAAGTGATCATTGGCATTTTAGTGATTCATTTGTGAATTAATTTAACTCTCATCCAACACTGGCCACTACACCTACACCTTTTCTCTACAGGTAATTTCATGTATTTCATGGAGTACTCAAAGTGGCTGTTGCTGTCTAGCAGACTGGTAGCAGGTGAGTCTGTATGAGTTGATGTTTTTTTTTTTAATAGAAACAACTTATAAACCAAAAATAGTAACTGCTGAGAGCTGTAGGGGTTGGAATGAGCTACCAAACATCTTCAATAGCTGTAAAACGCTAGGGTGCATGATTTTGTCAAATATGCACTACTTGATTTTGTTATTGTTCCCACTATAACTCGCATATTTCACATCAACTTGTTAATGATTTTAAATTTTGGTCTGTTAATCACTTTAATTCAGATTTTGTTTATTTTAGGAAAATAAGACCGGATGTTACAATGAAGCTTTTACACTTTTTCTAGCAAAGACAGAGCTCCAGTTTCAGTCTCAGTGTTTCAGTGTTGTCTTGTAATGAAATGTGTATTTTCTTCAGGCATTGGCACAGGCGCTGGCTCTTCTATCTTTGGTTTCCTGACCAGAATTACTGCTGCAGAGGACCGCGCCACAGTGTTTGCTGCAGTCATGGCATGTCGACAACTTGGCCTTCTGATTGGTCAGTGCTCCTTTGCTTTTTGGTGGCAAATAACAAAGGCTGCCCTTTTGATCATTTGAATGTAGTTGGTATGAATGAACAATTAGTGTTTATCTTTTTTACACAGACTATCGCAAGGTTAGTTGGGCTTTCTAGATTTGAGTGGGTAGAAATCACTAGTCATTACTGGCTTTCTGATATGTAACATAATTGCTTATGGCTCATGCACAAATATTGAGTGTTAGAGCATGCACAGTTACACATGGTGACTCAAATAACCTGTGTGATTCTACAGTAGTTGGTTTTGAGATTGATCTTCTCCTTTCCCATGTTATGTAGTGTGATTAGCTAAGTTTTGGGTGAGATGTACTGTATAGTTAAAACACATGTTTTAACTTTGTGTTTTAACACAGGTCCAGCATTTAACATCTTCCTCAGGCTTTGTGATTTCCACCTGGGTCCTTTTGTGGTCAATAAATATACTGCACCTGGAGTAAGGACCAAAATATAGTAGTTTTATCTTTTGTGACACATTCTTTGCCCCACCAGTAAAAACCTATAACACACTTTCTTTCTCCCCTGCAGTTGTTTATGTGCTTGCTGTGGGTTCTACTTCAACTGGCTGTGGTCTTCATGTACTGGGATCTACCACATCTGGAGAGAGGGAGGGTGCAGGAGGGTTCAACAAGCAGGAACAGGGAGGAGGACAGTGATGAGGCAAAGCCGTTAATGGGGTCCCAGGAGGCGGTAGCATCCAACCCCACTGGAAATCAAAGCTTTGCTGCCTCCAGTGTCATGCCGAATCATATTTCCCCACCTTCCTCGCCACTGCCATCACAGGCCCTTGAATCCTCCAGCCCCTTTAACAATTTTAGTATATCCCGAGGTAGGTGGCTAATGGTCAGTGGTTTGGGGCGGGATTTAATTAAACCAGTTTGCTTTAGATCCTTCCCTACATGCCATGTATAATTTACCTTCTGTCAAAAGAATTTTCAAGAAAGCAACGAAGTCACTGGAATCTTTCTATAAGAGATTGGTTTACTTGCAGCAAGGAGACAAGTCAGCATGTGCATGCAGAGTTGTCTGAATGAGTTTAGTCTAAACATCACAATATATAGGAGAAATGGAACTCCCTGAAGATGCAATCCAGGCGTCAATCAAGTTTATCTTCACAGTATATGGCTGGCTTCCTTTAAGTCTGGAGCGCCATTTGGTTGAACATATAACAACACACAAAGTACTAAAACAAAGATAAAACATGTCCTTCAGTTCAGACAGGCAGTGTCTCACAGGTGGTCTGTTCTGAAAGTTCAAAATCCATTGTATAATAACATAATTCTTAATCTCATTCATCCCAGGATCTCATACATGGCTCACTCAGATTAGAATCAGGAAAGTCTCTTTTCAAACCCAGTCATCCTGTTCCTCATAGTCTTCCTCCTCCCTGTCCTCGTTGCGGACTTGTTGGTACATGGTCCTAGTCTGAGCAGTGTCTATCGGTCTGTACATCAGTCCTCGCAGACAGGGGATGCCACAACAGCCACACACGACCAGCAGGGCTGCAGTCACGGACAGAGAAATCAACCCAGAAGCGATCAGTTTCCCAAACTAGGATTTCAGGAGGTCGGTGAAGGGGTTGTTGATCCCAGAGTTCTCAGTCAGTTCCTCGGATAGGGCTGTCAGTCCTTCAAGGGCCTTGGTGATACTGCCATCTAGGGAAGTGTTGTTAGGTATAAAAGTACAACAAAATGTGCCAAACATTTTTACATACTACTCCCCTCTCAGCTAACGACATATCTAGGGCCATTCTATTGTGCCACGACATGAGAGAAGTTGGGCCTAATTGTTCTGCTATGCCTCTAATTGCATCTCTGGTATGATTCACAAAACATTGTTGATTATAGTATAAGTAGTTAATCCAATCCACATTCTTATTTGCTGTGACCCACCAGGAAAAAAAAATTCAAACCCTGCAGCTATTTGACTTCTAGCTTTAAATTCATCAGGTACTCGGGGTACGCCAATTGCATCTAAGCACACTCTGCTGTCGAACGATCCTCGGGCCTCGCCTGTAGGTCTGGTTTCACGATGTAGATGGGATGCAGATAACAGCTTCTCCCCCGGCTCCCTGTATTTTCTCAAGGAGAATATGGGAAAAGGCATCAGCAGCTGCACCAGGGCACAGCTGCCTCACCACAGTGAGGGAAGTCTGGGTCTCAACTTGCCATCTCCGCAGAGCCACCGTATGCCTGCCCTCGAAACTGTTTGGTTCACAAATCAGGTGGCAGAATAGTCACCACTGTCAGTGGTGATGTTGAAGGTCTCCTCACACCAGGCAGGCGGCAGGTTGTGCACATTCTTACCGGTACCGTACGAAGCATGTGTAATTACCAGGATAAATGTTCACCGAGGGAGGGACGTCTCCTTTGTTTACTGGTGGATACAGCAAAGAAAGAGATTTGCATTGTTCAGTGGTTGGAGAAAAAAAAACCTTATCATACAATTATACTATGCACTGTACTCCTGTAGAGTGTGCTTTTCATCCAGTTGAAGAGGAATGATTCCTAATTGAGGCCTAGCAGTGAAACATACAATTAATGACATTACTTTGTCGTGTAATAAAGGTCATCCATTCAAGCCATTCATTTTTATCAGCATATTCTGTTTCTAAGGCCATCACATCCTGTATAGTAAGGTTTTCCAGGTAACTCACTCACTTATCCACTCATTCCCTCAGTACTGTAGAGAGTATTTAAAGGAGGAGGGTTTTTCTTTTTACCTGCTTTAGTAACTTTTATATGGAAGGCCCCTATTGGGTCACTTCCTCTCACATCCACATCTATGGGATGCAGGCCGCTATCAGATATTTTGGCATCTTTCTGACTTATGAGAAGGGGGTTACAGCTATTAGATGTACAGTCCTGAGGATCACTGTAGCCCTTAACTATGGTTAAATGATTCGTCTGTGGGGAAGTGGGATAATATCCCCAGTCTAAGAGTCTGGTGTTAGCCACTACAAAGTTCCATGTGGGACAGTGTAGGATACTACCCCTACCCTCATGCCTATAAAGATCGCGGTCCTCAGCCTGAGCACAGATGTACTTGTCCTCCCTAATGTACTGTTTTGGGTCTCCATCACATTGCATAAGGTTACACAGGTCAACTTTTGCCACTATGGTATTGCCCTCTCTGCCCTCTATCACAGGCGACGGTCATGAATTGCAAAGTATCAACTTTTTTACTACTTGTGGTGCTTCAGCGCAGAGCCAGGAAAATAACAAGACTACAACTATTCCTATAGTTAATGTAATTAAGATGCCGATATGACTGGTCCTGTTTTTGGTTTTACTCTCAGGTTTAGACCATTTACAGGTGGGGTTTGTCCAAACAGTCCCCAGCTGGTTTTCTGATCCTCCTCCATCTGTCCCTTCATTGTTTTAGGTCGCACCCTATGCTCCTTTTGGCCGTTGGCTTCTTCACTGAGTTTGAGACGACTCTTCCCTATTGGATAAAGCCCCCTTTGTAGTCAGACTTGCTGCCTTAGGGAGCGGTGGTGTGTAGCTAACTGTCCTTCACCTATTTTATGAGTATAAAGATTTTACCAGCTTGCAGTGGGACAGATGAATCCAGGATGTCCTCTCAGCTATCTTTACTGCTGTAGGTGTGGTGAGCAGTACCTAGTATGGACCTTCCCACCTTGGATTGGACCAGTTCTTTTAATCACCTTCAGTAGCACCCAGTCTCCAGGTTTCACAGTTTCAATCTGTGGCTCCACTGGTTCTCCTGGAACAGAATTAGCACAAACAATCTCCTTGTATGGTAGCATTTTTGCCATTTAATCTGCCAGAATTTGTTCAGCCTCTTCATCTGAATGCTGGAAGGGCTTTAGTTGTGGAATAATGTAAGGTCTGCCATACGTTAACTCAAAGGGCGTTAAACCACCTGCTGTGGGGGTTACATGCATGTTGAAGAGTACTAATGGCAGGCAATAAACCCAGTTTCCTCCATGGTTTTTCTTAGTTTAGCTTTAAGAATGCCATTGTCTTTCCACTAACCCTGCAGATTGTGGATGATATGCACAATGATGCTTCAGGTCTATGTGCAGAGTTTGAGCTAATGATATTACACTGTTTACAAAGTGAGTTTCATTGTCTATATATTTTTTCAGGTATTCCATATCTGGGGATTTTTTCCTTCACTAGTGCCTTTGCTACTGTGGGAGCATCTGGAGCAGCTGTGGGAAATACTTCAACCCATTTAGTAAACATGTCTATTATGACCAGGCAGAATTTCTTTCCCTCACACTTGTTTAATTCTCTAAAGTCCATGCAAATGTGTTGAAAAGGAAATTGTGGTTTTGGAAATTGACCTCTTAGTTCTCAGGTGTCCTCTTACATTGTGGCGAGCGCATATTGTACAAGTAGCGCAGTAGTTTGAAAACCCATATGCTGTGAACACTTTGCCTCTCATGGCTGCCATCCCTCCTGTTGAGACATGACTTTGTCCATGGCTCAAAATTGCAGCATATCTGACTATTTGGTAGGATAGGTTTCCCTTCTGGTCATTCATACAGTTCTGTTTTTTCATTAAAGGTTGCCCCCTTTTTTTCTTCCATTTTTGAACTTCAGCTTGTGGTGCTGCTTTCTGCATGTCTTTTAAAACAGTTTGGTCTATTTGAGATGTGTCATCTACTGTCAGCAACTCTGTAATGCTTTCTTAGCTTCCTCATCAGCTTTGTGGTTACCTTGGGATATGGGATCAGTCCCTTTTAGTGTGTGCTGCAAACTTACAAATTGCTACTTTTTTTTGGTAACTGTATAGCATCTAAGAGATTTAAGATTAGATCTGTGGTTGATGGGCTTCCCTGTGGAAGTCACCATGCTTCAATTTTTCCATTGTGCAAAAACGTGCACTGTTGAAAACGCATATTGACCATCAGTGTAAATATTAGCTATTTTCCCTTCAGCTAATTTACACGCCTCTGTCAATTCCACTGCCCAGGCAGCAGAGTTAGAGTAGTGTTTTGGGAGGGGCTTTGCTGTCAGTACAGCATCTTGTGTCACTACAGCAAACACTGTTGCGTTTGTTCCATCTGGGTTACTTGACCCATCTACAAACATAGTTATGTCTGCATTGTCATAGGGTACATCAGGTCCAGCCTAGGGAGCACTTTCTCTGCTATTTCTGATGAGCAGTCATGAGGTGTCCCATCTGATGCTGTGGGAATGAGCGTGGCTGGGTTCAGTTTTGTGCATCTTTCAATAGTTGGGTGCAGTTGTGATAGTAACACAGTCATGCATGAGAGATGTCTTAGACACCTTCTAATGGTCATTTAACCATTTTCAACCAATTCATTTTGATGCTGTATTAAGTTCTGTATGCTACTGTCTGAGTACATGTATTGTGGTTTTTTTTTTTTTTTTTTTTTTTTTTTTAAATCTGAATTAAAGCTGAATACAAATTCCCACAATGTGAGCAATAAAGTTAACCTAAACTGTACATTTTTAGGTCTTTGTGTTTTCCTAACATGCTAAGCAGCCAGTTGTCTACTAGTAGACTTTGGAGACTTGCTTTAAAGATAACAATTTGTAAAAAATTAAAAATGTTAAACTTGAAAAAGCAAGCATGCTATGCAGTACATAATTTATCTCGTTGCCCCTTTTCAGTTTACCTCTGACCTTTACTCTGTCTTCCCATATGTCTCTCTGACTTGCTCTTTGCCTCTAGAGTTCCTGAGAGAAGAGGTGGTTGTGCTGCTGGCTGCTCAGTTCATCACCCTTTTCAACCAGACAGCATTGGAGGTGCAGTGAAGGCACACAGCCAAACACAAATATAATTTGTTCTCTTTGTTTCCTTGGTCAGGTTTCACTTTTTGTAAATAAACTGCATTTATTTTTTTATATAAAGATGCAGATTCCTAGAACAAAACCACACTGGGAGTGAAGTTAAAATAAGTAACCAAGAATAAAATAGTTTCGAGGCTAATGTTACACTGTGAGACAAAAATCACTTGTCAATTATGCTAGAGCATGTTCACTGTTCCCTCCTCAGACCATGGTGACTCCACTGACACAGAAGTTCTTTGGCTATGGGGAGCTAGAGAATAGTGTGATGTACTCTCTCTGTGGTGTAGAGGTGATCGCTGGCTTCCTGTTTGTGCGCTGGCTGAGTTGCCGTGCTAGCGACAGAGCGGTCCTGGCTGTTGGTTTGACCATCTGCAACATCGCTGGTGTCTGGTGCCTCATCTTCCTGGCTAACCCACTAGGTCAGACAGCACTGCATTTTAAATTCCCATTGTTCTTGCGCACAGTTTTACCATCAGTAAATGATGCTGCCACATTAAGTAATCCTTCCAAGTCTTAATTTAATCACAGTAGGGGCACTATTTACTGATGATGGTTCTGTTCTGTACCTGTTCCATAAAACACGCATACAATTTTCTGAATAGCTTTGCGAAGTATTCAACACCCTCAAATCTGGGTACACATACTCGGTATATACAGAGCATCCAAATTATATGACAAGCAAGCTAATGGATGTAGGAATCATTGTGATTAGAACTTTTACATGTTCTGTTATTATATTAACTATTTTAGTGTTTTCTGTTTTGTTGCCCTTTGCATTTCCTATAGGTGGTTTCCCGTGGCAGCTGACTGAGTTTATAATTGGAGTGTTCCTGCAGGTTTTGGGTTTGCCATTTGTAGCTGTAGCCCAAGTTTCCCTCTTCTCCAAAGTTACTGCTGAGAAAACACAAGGTGAGAAACAACTATTTGATGGTATAATTTTTTTTTTCTAACCATGCATGCAGGGTGTATTAGTTCCATTTAAATACACTGTCACTGATATGACTGCACATTTTTAAATATGTAAGAAGTCGTTTTGTTTTTCTCAGTGTGTGTGTGTGTGAGAGAGCTCTCGTGTATTGGTGTCTTGACTCTGTGTTGCAGGTTTCAGTCAGGGAGTGCGTCGCTCAGTGGGAGGTCTAGCTACCATTTTGGGCCCTCTCTGGGCTGGTGGTCTTACCGAGAACATGTATATCATGCTGGGGGTGATGGCGGCACTGCTGGCACTGCTAACGGTAAGTGAAAGGAAATGAGATGATGGAAAAGAAACAAATGATGCAGAATGAGTCCATGTTCAACTCTGTCTGGTTCATTGAAATAGATGAATTACAGTAGTAACTGTTGTGGGAAATTTTCAGTTTATGCAGTCATGTGTAGACTAAATCGTGTATTATGAAGTTTACCATAGTTTGCTTTAAAAAGGGCTAAAATGTTTATTAGTTAAACTAAGTAGCAAAAACTCTGGTGTTGTAATGACATAAGTATTGTATTTGACAGACAATACCCAGTGTTACTTACAGCTTTAATGAAACAACTTAAAGAAAATCTGAAAATGAAATCCAACAGCTATGCAAATCCAGTGGGAACACAACAAATGTACAAACCAGATAAATGGGTTTAAAGTTAAGAACTGGAGATACAGATTGACATCTCATAGCCAGAAGCTCCTACAAAATGTTTGTAAGGCAAACAGCCCAGCAACCAAATGTTTCCACTGACAAATGAAGCAAACTGGTTTTGTGCTTATAAGAGGAGGACTCGGTGTACCTTGCAGTTCTTTCTTCCATATTGGAACCTCTGTTCACAGCCCTGGCTTTTTCCATCGTAAAGGACGTGTTGCACATTATTGAAAACTCAGTTTTCAGGGCACAGAGCATCAGACATTTCAAAATCCAAAACATTTCAACTTTGGGAAAGATTACTACTCTTCAGACTTGGCATAGTGACTGAGTGAGTATAGAGAAGTGACTTGTCCTTAACTTCTTCCTTGGTCCTTACCCCTTCCTTTCTTCCTTCTTTCTGTTAAATGCATTGTAGACTTTGGGCTACAGCATATTAGGGTCGTGAATGTTAGGGCTGACTAATGATGGCAACCTATAATCGTACTTTCACCTTTTCAAACTGTGTATTGTCTCATGGTTCCATGAAAGCTCCTTTTATAGACAATTTTTTAATAGTTTTTATATGTGTGACCATTTTCAATATTATACACCTGAATGGCATAAATTTTAAAGTGGCATAAAGTAAATCTTCACATAGAAACTTGTGGGGTGGGTGGAGTGGCAATAATGAAGAGAAAACAGAAGAAATAATCAAGCATTCATGTCATTTTCCTCTGAGCTTTCTTACTGAGCAGCTTAACACATTTTGTGTTAATACGGATCAAATATTTTTTGATGCAGATGATGCTGGCATTTTCATATGACCGTCTGGTTGAGCCTGCTGCTGAGGAACAAGCAGACAGCCCAGACAGATGTGCTTAATCCGAGCAGATGTTGAAGGTGTGTTGCTGTTTGCAAATGTAATGCATGCAATCCTCTGACTTGTATGAACATGGTACAAGATAATTATTTTTTTCCTAAATGTAAAATATGAGCTAGCTAGTTTTTTTTAAGCTTTAGTAATGTGCTCCAGAAAGAAAATTGTGAACTTGTATGCTGCTTTCCAACATCTTATCTTGTGTGTGTATATATATATTTTTTCTTTCTATACCAGAGCAAAGTGGGAGCTTCCCTGTGCTACACTAGCAGAACTTGCACAATCTCACTTTCTGCTTTGGGACCAGCATTCAAAGTGATAACACACACCTTGCGAGTACTCCCCTAATGCTCGGACTTATCAGCTTTAGTGTGCAGAGGCTGATCAAAGCACTGTTTTGGTTTATGCATACGTGTCCCATGGAAATACAGAATCCTGGTGGCACCACATGTACAAGCACTGGGTGAAAATTGTTTGTTCGCATGTGTTCTCTACTGACTACATTAATGCATCACGCATTCTGTTTGGGTTTCAGCATTTACAATATAATACATAGTTAAATTATTGACCAGGCTAAATGTGTGTGGATTTAGCTGACCTCTGTCCTTGTGCTGTAGCAGAATATATGAACTGTTTCACCATGATCTTTAATACTTCATCTCCTGCAAAAACAAACTTTGAATATATGCATTAGCAAATTTTGAGGTTATTTGGCAGACAGAAAACAAGTTTTCATGTCCTCTAAAATAAAATCCTCAAAGTTTTGACAAATATTCCAAAATGATACATCAGAAGCATTTTGAGCTTGATGAAATGTCATTTCAGTCACTTCATTTAATTCAGTCTCGTTTTTTCTGATACAATCAAGGCTTCTCCTTGTCCACTGCTAAATGTTTGCCAAAACCCAGCCTAATTTTTTTTTTTTTTTTCTTGCAAGTTGTACATCAATTTTAAATTTTCAGTGGTCACTCTCATTAAAGCAACAGAACTACTAATACTAACAGGAAGAAATTAAATAGATGTCCATTCTACCTTTTTTGTATGGTGATAAATTCTTTTTCAAATGCATTTACAGCCTGACTAATAAATGTCTCAGGGTAACACCAAATACTTTGGTGCAAAATTAGGAGGCATTATATTTTGGCCTAAAATCAATCGGTAAATGATTTCTTCAAGTACTGGATTCTGCCATAATAACAAAACTGCTGATATCTGTCAAGACCTTATTCGAGGTGGCTGTTAAACTTTCACATCTGCCTGGTGTTAAGGCTGTTAGTGTTTCCTGTTTTGAAAAGTAGCAAGCAGTATAACTTTGTAGTTGTCAGTTGCTGATGTAGTACTTTTTTTTTAGCACTGGAAGGTGCTCTTAGTCTTTGTTCCTGATGTATGTATTCCCCATGAGCCAAATGTTTGATGTGGGAGCTACGTCTGTCAGAAAACTCCAAAATATCAAGTGAACTCCTACAAAAGGAAAACAAAATGCCAAGACAGCTTTATCGGTAGTGTTTTGCACAAAAAATAGCCTTGGAGTTTTAGGTGATAATGCAGAAATCGCACAAATCACCCTAAGAACAGTGTTTTTGTTTTTTTTTTTCCCCCCATTCCCTGAAGTCTAGATTTTCTACGTCTTCATAATTTCTTTAGGTTTTATATTCACGAGCAGCACAAATATGTTATGACTGGAGATTAAGTATATTTAATAGATCTTTTGTGGGCACTTTTTAAAAAATTCTTTCTATAAAAAACTTTCACCATACTTCACTGGCTAATGTTTTATTGTCTTGAGAAACGGTGCTTGTGTGCGCATAGTAATTATGAGTACATCAAAAACTATTGCTGATAAAATATGTAATATTATGGTATGTTGTGTGAAATAGATTATATACTTGACAAGTAATCGGTTTAAAGTAAAAACATTCCTCTTCCCTTCCATTGTTTGTGCAATACATGTAAAACTAATTAAATGTTTAAGAATTATACATGTAAAATTTGGTTGTATAATAGAATATATTTATCAAATTTAGAAAGTTATGTTTTAGTAGTTGCAAAGCCATCTAACGATGTGTTGCCTGGTGTCATTTAAGAAAACTTTTTCCTTTGCTAGTAAAACTAGCCTAATCCAGTTCATTTTAAAGCATTTTTGTTTAGTACATTTCTTGTATATTTATAACTTTGGGTATTTTGCTTGTATGATAATTATATCTTTATAGAACCATGAACAAAAAATTAAACATGCATTTAAATTTTTTATCAGGGATAAATTAGAGCTTGTATGCAATCACATCAAAAAGTGAAGTAAGCTGACGTTTCAATTTTTCATTTTTAATACATTTGCAAAATTTCAAAAAAAAACATTTTCACTTTGTTATTGAGGGTAGCTGTAAAATACAATCTACAATACAAAGTGTTAATGTTAAGCCAATGTATATCTGGAGTTAAAATCTAATATAGTGTTTTCTCTCATTTTTCAAAGAATACAGTTTATATGGTGTAGAAAATATTAGGGATTAAGATTTGTGTATTCAAATATGAAAAAGTTAAAACTGAAAGTTGTACAGTTGAATAGAATAAGTTTCATCAGTGCATATGTGGTATTTTAAATTAATATTGACATTAAATAAAATACATAATATAAAATTAAAAGTGTCAAATTCTAATGAGAGGCTATATATTTAGTGAAAAAAAAAAAAAAAAAAAAAAGTTTTCATTATTTTAGTTCTTGATAAAATAGTAGTGGTAATTATTCACACTGTATAAAGGGAAAGAAATTTCATCAAGCCAGCAATGGGGCTCATTTTTGCAGATTTATTTATATTAGACAAACTATTTTTGAAATTTTTGATTTCTGGATGTGACCCCTTTTGGGGGTCCCTGTGCCCTTGCTGGCAAAACCGGAAAGGAGGGTGCAGTTGAGGTGTTTCCTGCTCATGGTGACTAATCATCCCCACTAGTGACATGGTAGCGAGGGGGCGACGCTTTTGAACTGGTTTTGATTTTGGACGGGGCAGTTATGATGGTGACCCAGTAACATTTTTTTTGTTGTTAACCAGTTCCCTCCTGCCCATCTCTCTCTTTCTCTCTCTCTCTCACACACACACACACACACACTTGGCCTGCAGCGGCAGTCTGACTGAACGGTGACCCTACATATCAGGGACAGAAGTGTAGAACAAGTCATGTGTCATTAACAGTAGCAGTCAGGGTAAGTTCGCTCCTTCTCCTTCCCTGCCAATCACAGGGACAGGTTCCAAGGCTTGTATAGCCAAATTCAACTTGCCAATAGTGGGAAAATCTTTTTTTCGCCCCCCCCCATCTTGTCTTAGCCTGACATACATATTGTATTTTACAATGTATTGAGGTGTAGACACAGCCACAGGTTTTTCACACACCCATCTTTTCTTGCCCTTTCACATCCACTTTATAAGACACTTTCCCTGTTCATGGGGCAACTCCACAGTTCAAGAGTTAATACCTTCAACTTGGGTACTATAAGACTTTCATGAGGCTAGCTGAGCTGGCTAATGAGTGGATAGATGTGCTTTCAAGCCTGAACATGTGAGCGTTTTAGTTACCAAGCATATGAAATATTTAGTTGTGCACTGGTGTCCAGATCCTTTATGCTTGTGCAAAAACTACTTGAGCCACAGTCAAATCAAAATGGTGGCACTGACAGAAACCTGTGAAAGTCTGTTAGTGTCCCAACATGGATGGCACTCGAATCTCGTTAATAATAGATGTCACTCTGAAGAGGTACGACATCTTGAAGTGAGATGGTGTAAAAAAGAAAAGTGGGAGAAGTGCTTCAGTTGTTAGAATGGGAAAATGGATTCACTGTGACCAAGTCTGCAATGGGTAGCCGTAAAATAAGACATTACATCAATATTTAGCAACATCAGACGTTTTTTTTTTTTTTTTTTTTTTTAATTTTTTAAATGGTCATTTTTAGTCTGGTTTGGTTTTGCTGCTGTAAAAAATATAGGATCCTAAAGAAAACTGAGCTCCGCTTTTGTTACCCAGGGTGGTGTGACAGTAATTTTCTTCTCCTTAGTGGTCTTATCAAGAAAGCAGGGTTGTGTAAAGCTTCTTCTGACTAAATGAGTAATTATTTCTGTGGAGCCTGTAGTGGGGCACCCTGGGCTGTGCTGTGCAAGCTAGCCAGCTGTTAAACATAGAATTCTGTTTTGCCAAATGGGTCACACTTTAGCCAGCTTCAGTGCTTCTACCAACATTCTCCCCTCCTTTCTTTGATCTTAAAACCACATACACTTAGTCCGGATTTGTAATTCTGATGGTCTTTTTGACCCTTGACACTGCACCTGTTCTGTTTCAAGTCTTGACCTGTGTGGTCGATGAGATGAGAGCAGCGCATGAGCGATTAAGGATACTTATGTCACAATTTACCACTTTTCAGACTCTTTAATTTGGCTGGTATTCAGACTTCATGAGAAGAATACTAATTTCTGCTTGTCATTATAGCATGTTTTCCCCTTTTTCAGTTTCTTTGATGCATTTCAGTGAGTCCTTAGTTCCTCACATGAAAATTTCATATTTTGTAGACTGCTCTGCTCTTGAGGAATATAAAAAAACCAGGTTGTTGAGGTAAACTGGCAAATTGAGTCAAAAAACAAAATGTAAAAGAGGAGCTACCTGCTTTAATACTATTAATATGAGAAAAATATTGTCTGTCTAGAGGATAATCCTGTTTTCAAGAAAAACTATTCAGGTTTAATTCACTTTATCTCCAGCCTTGCCTTCAGGACATCCCAACATGTTGTATAACTCCATCTCATTTTGTTTTAATCACCAACACTGAGTCTGGTGTCACTGTTTTGTGTTCTGGCCAACTCTGTCCCACCCCCACATCTACCCAAACAGCCTTCACCCTCTCTGCTCCCAGAACAGAGATTACTGGCCCATCTGTATGACCAGAGTCAGACCACGCTAAGCCGATGGGAGTCCTGCTCAGCAAGGCACCGCCGCAATTGTTAACCCTGATTAACTTGATGTGGCATTCGGTAGAGGGAACAGTGTGAAAATGAAGCCAGTGCCATGACCCAGTGCCCTGCTGCTGA